AATAAGAGGTATCGAAAACGAGATTGCTTGGGCGAACTATTGAATTATCAAATGACGTGGATCTACATGGTACAGACAAAACCTACAGTTTTTGTGAGATTTGAGATTCTCTGACGACGGCGTGTGTGAAGATGGGCTGTCTTCTGGGTTGTTGCGCGCCGTGTAGTCTGGTGTCAGTTTTACCGACGTTTCAGAGGTGCTTTCATCTGCCATAATTAGTTCTATGGCCCATCACTTTGATGATGGAGGCGGCAAGCACCTCTGAAACGTCGGTAAAACTGACACCAGACTACACGGCGCAACAAGAAGACCGCCATCTTGGTAAAATTCCTGTTCTTTTTTTGTTTTCTGTCGAACTGATTAGATTTGGTAAAGTAGTGTTTATCAACGGAATAAGTTATGTGTACTCCAATTCGGAGTACAGTCGAACTTCCCGTGTTCTGTATCATTTTAAATAGTGACGGTTATAGGTGTGCTGTGAAAGGCGTATGATGCAAATGTTGTGGCTAGTGAATGCAGCTCAGGGTGATAGATCACTTCATGTTTTCCTTCGTAGTAGAACTTAAAATTGCTGATTCCATTTAGAGGTCATCTAACCATATGGTGCTAACTTTCACTTTCTTGATACGGAGAGTGATTTTAGTGCCAGCCACGAAGTGACCAATGAGAAAATGATCTAGACTTCGGGTCAGCTGTCTGGAAAGACACATACAGGGTCTAACAAAACGCCTGCATGCATGGTTCCTTTAACGACGTAATTGCATTCGTTGTCTAGCACAGAATGAGAAATGGCAGAAGTAGGGCGTAGGGCAACTGCCCTGGATGCAGATGGTAAGAGGGTGTGTCGATCATATTCTGGAAATCATAAATGAAACCGACATCGAATGTTTCCAGCTTTAGATTGAACGAAGGAAACTTTAGGCTTGTTGATTGGTTTTAAGGTCGGAAGATGTGAGAGTAAGCACGTCTTTGAACTTTGAAGAGACACAAAAATAACTTTGCCCGTCCTTGGGAATGATATTCATGAATTGTGGGTTGGAAAAGATGTGGATTGAACTGGCAATGACATTTATAAGACGCTGTTCAGAATTTATCCTTTCAATCGGGAAAAATCTCTCTTGAGGCCTCAGTCGTACAGTATTCCAAAGAGTTTTGAACCATATAAGATTTGAGGTTTTCACAGCGATGAGTATGAAGATTTCTGTCTTCTGGGTTG